GGGGGTGGTGAGGGCGGCTGGGTGAGGGCTGGGGGCCTCACAATCGCTGGCAGGAAGTGCCGGGCGGCTGCCTGCCAACTACCCGCACCGGCGGCCGCCTGGGCATGCGCTGCGGCCGCCCATCGCCCCGGCTGGCGCGCAACTGCGCTGCGGACTCTCTGCTACCCCCTCTCAAGCCCGCCTCCGCCAGGCCGGCTCACGTAAATTGGCCCCTGGGCGAAATTGGCGAAGAAGTCGGACTCCAGCTTTTGCCGGAGCCCGTCCGCATAGCGGCCGCTGCCGTTGATGCGGAACGTGGTCGGCAGCGGCTGCCGCAGCACGTCTATGAACGCGTCCCACTCGCCTTCTGGCACGACGCCCTGCGAGGTGCAGGCCGGCAGGTTCGTGAGCGGCGCTGCGGCTTTGACCGAGGTCGGGTTGCAGCCACAGCAAACACGGCTTCGTGTGTCATTGTGACAGGGCGCCTCCCTCATTATTCCGTCGCAATACACTTTGGATCAAAGCTGCCATGCTGATCAAAAAGGTGCGCCGCTGCGCTGTGCTGCTGGCTTGTCACCTGGGCTTTGTAGTACTCGGCGAATGGGACGCTGTAGAGCTGGCTGCGGTCGACGGCGCCCGGCGGCCCCTGCTTGCTCTTGTCCTGCATCCATACGTTGTCGCGCGCGGCATCTCCACCAAAGTCCTTGCGCATGGAGCGCTTGTTGCCCTGCAAACGGACGCAAGGGACGTCAGCCGGATCGACCTGGCTGGATCGATCTGCTCACAGAGGGCTAGTTTATACCGTCCACTCACCCTGCCACGCCCACGCCCCCTGCCCATTGTTGCTTCGGATTGGCTAGATACTAGAGATCGCCCTCGCCGCCGTTCAGCCGGAAGTGATCAGCAACGCTGATGATTGAGATGCGACTGTATACACGGACCTCTGCACGTGGGGGTGGGCGAGCAGGGAGTGGTGGTTGTCCGCGGGCATCACTTCGTCACCAGCCGCCGTAATGTGCTGCACTGCTGCACCGCTGCTTAGCGCGGTAGCGAGATATGATGCTCTGCGGCGACGCTGCCCCGATCGCGCGATTGACGGGGCAGCCCTCCGGCCTCCGACATTGTGCCTGTATTGCATAGCAACACAGCACAAGACGCCAGGGCGTCACGAAGGTAGGCGCGCCTCGGTCAAACAAGTCAAACCTGGCATCTTGGTACAGCATGCTCATTGACCTTCTCAGCGGCAGTGCACATGGCGTACCAGTAAGAAAATATTCAGTATGAATTAAGTTTGAGTGGCACAAACCTGTCTGAACCATCAATCGATGGTGGTAGCGTGACGCACACCGCAGGCTGGTTTCAAGGATGGTGTCCCCACCGCCGGCTTGCCGTCCGTCTGGGTTGGCACCAGCCCCCTCGCTGCCCTTAAGCTGCTGACACCTTGCATCATCAGATGGATGAAGCTGCATACAGTATCATCAATCTGCTGCACGGCCGAGCCAGATGAAGCAGGATGCGTACAGTGCTGGCTTGGCGTGTTGGAGCATTGCTGGCACACAGGGCGGGCCGCATGACGCGCTCGCACAGATGCGCAATTCGAAGATTGTATGGAACCAATGTAACCACCCCGCTCTGTAAGGTTCTTGACTCTAAAACGTGTCACCATTCACCTTCCTCGTGTGCTGGTGGCAAGTTCACTGCGCATTCCCGGCGACGTGGAAGGAGCGCCACTGGAGTGCAGGCGCGACTGTGCAGCCATGCAAGATCCTTGAGCTTTCAAAGTTCCATGTAACATACACCGATCATCAGCCTGACAACATCACCAGGTGAACCCCTAAACAATGCATGTCTGATGACTGATTAGAGCCAGAGGCACCATGCAGAATGATAGGAGCTCATGGAGCTGCTCCTGGCACGCCCCCGGCAAATGCTATGCATTAGTATGTTTGAAAGTGCGTCGAATGAATCACGTCGCTCGTTCTTTCACCACGGTGTACAGCAGATCAGTGTCCCGCTTGATCAGCCATCCACAAGGGACGCGACATTTCCAGTGCAGTTGAGCCGCCAAACACGATTCGATAGGTGCGCCGACAAAGTAACCACCACGTCATGCCGAGCCACCGTGCATGCAGGGGGGCCACAACAACGCAAGCTTCAGCTGCTGCAGCTGAACGTTGAATGCTTGCCAAGTGCTGCCTACAACATGTGCAAGTTCTTTCGACACAGGATGGGCACCACGCCACCTTCAACAATAGCTACATTGCGAGCATTCAGCATGTTGATCAGGCCGCAGCGCCCAAAGCACCCGCGCGAGGCGCCTCCTTCGCACCAACAACGCCTCCATCGAAACCACTCCCCCCCTCTGACAATCTCAGGCGCGCGGCCGCCTGGCACCATGGCCGTGTCGTTTGCGGCATACTTTGACTCGCAGCACCTGTCCGATGCCGAGGTCCGCTTCGTGGACGCCGGCAGCGGCGGCAGCTGCCTCCTGGCTTCCATACCCAGCCACCAGCTCGTCCTGAAAAACGCCAGCGAGCGCTGGACGGCCGAGCTCGAGCGGTGGCAGCAGCAGGAGAGCACGAATAGCAGCGGCGGCGGCGGCGGCGGCGCGGGCAAGGCGGCGGTGAGTGTCGCCCTGGCGGGTGAGCACGAGGTGCCCCTGGGGCGCACCCTGCTGCGCCTGCTGTACACAGGCGAGCTCGAAGAGTGCGGCGGCGGCGACTGCGGCGGCGGCGGCAGCAGCAGCAGCAGCGAGCCGGCGCTGCTGCGGCTGCTGGAGCTGGCGCACTGCTCGCTGCTGACGGGCGCCATGAGGGTGGTGTGCACCGCGCTGGCGGCGCTGGCGGCTGGGGGCGGCGGCCCGAGCTGGGGCGCAGGTTGGCGGGGCAGTTTTTGGGTTGGCGGGCAGCCCTCAAATGACGCGGCGCGAAAGGTGTCCTGTGGAGTCAAGCGGCACGGTTCACGCCCGTGGCGTGTTGTGTCCTGATAGCTTGTCTTGAGGCAAGACCAGACCAGTAGCTGTGTTGCATCTCCGCCTGGCTTGCCGGCCTCCTGTCGCCCCAAACCCTGCGGCCGCCTGGAACCCCCCGCAACCTGCAGTCGAGACGCTGTTGGCAGCCCCAGACGACCTCGCTGAGCTGGCGGAATTCCAGCCGCTGAGTCAGCACCTGGAGGAGGCGGTCTTCAAACGCCTGGGCGACCTGGAAGTGGCGTTGGATGACGACAGCAGCACCGCCGCGCTGCAGCGCCTGCCAGCGGCCGCGCTGGCGCGCCTGCTGTCGAGCAGCGCGCTGCAGGTCGGCAGCGAGTGCAGCGTGGTGGCGGCGGTGGGCGCGTGGGTGGCCGCGCGGGGCGGCGCGGGCTGCATACGTCCAGAGGTGGGCGGGCGGTGGCGCCCATCAGGGATGAGCTGTGGCCACCAATCATGGCTGCAAAACGCCTGTTGCCTGAGATGTGATGCACGCATCAATCAATCGCGGGGACCGGCAGCTTCAATCAAAGTAACCACTATGATTTTGCCCTGCAACCGCACACGCAGGTGTGCCTGCAGCTGCTGCGGTGCGTGCGTATTGCCCAGCTGCCGCTGTCCTACTGCCTGGGAGCCCTGCTGCGTCAGACCTGGGTCATCAGGGTGCGGGCGCGCAGGCCGGCAGCGGCAGGGGTGGGGGCTGGGAGAAGGGCGTCAAGGCTGCTGCTGCTGCTGTTGCTGCTACTGTTGCTGCTACTGTTGCTGCTGCTGTTGCTGCCGCTGTTGCTGCTGCTGTTGCTGCTGCTGCTGCTGCTGCGGCTGCTGCTGCTGCTGCTGCTGCGAGTGCTTGCGGGGTATGGGGCAGGCGCTGACCACGATTGATGATGGCGCTCGTGCGTGAGGTGCTCGACACAGCAGTGTCGGTCCGTTGGCAGCTGCTAATGGATGAAGCATCCCCCTCCTTTAAGTGACGCCCTCCTCGCCATCACAGCAGTGCGCTTGACAGTTGCCCTGCTCCCCCCCCCCCCCTGCCGCCTCAGTCTGAGGCGGACATGCATGTCATGCAGGCCATCAGCCTGCTGGCATTGCCCGAGGCAATGGCGCCCCTCAGGGAAATGCAGCTCTCGGCCACAAACGCTGCCTTCCGCGCGCTGTGGCGCCTCTGGGCTGGCAAGGGGCCGCGGCAGCCTTCAGCGCGGCCGCAATTGTCGCTGGACGCGCCGGCGGTCGGGGAGGCGCAGCTGAGGGCGATGTTTGAGGCCGTGCAGCTGCAGCTGGGGCGGCGGCCGCCGGAGGGCGCTCCTGCGCCCGGGGCAGTGCAGCGGCAGGCGGGCGCTTCGAGCGGCGAGAAGCGCGGGGGCAGCGGCGCCGGCATGGCGGGCGCAAGGAAGCGCGGGAGGCGGCAGGGGCAGCAGCAGCTGCCGCAGGAGCGGCAGCAAGGGCAGGAGGATGCAGATGCAGCAGGGGAGGAGCCTGACCCTGACCACAGTGCGAGTTGCTCCGCGCGAGATGCCGAGGCAGCCCAGGTCTCGTTTTGGGGCGGCTTCTTCTGGTGCATTGCCTTGCGCTGGGTGCCCGTCAGCAGCCGGGGCGGCGCGCCGCCGCAGCTCCAGCTGCAGCTGACAGTGACTGCCCGGCATGCGTGGTGCAAGCGGGGCGTGGCGCTGCGGCTGCTCGGCGTCAGCAGCGCGGTCAAGTCCTACAAGCGGCAGCCTGGGGGAACTGCATTAGCAGCTGCGGGCAGCGCGGCTCAAAGCCAAGGGCAGGGCAGCAGCAGCAAGGGGCCGGCGCGCCTGGCCGGCGTCTACCAGCTGCGCGCGCCGCAGAACCTGTGGGCGGCCGGCGACGGCGCGGCGCCCAGTTCGCGGCAGGCGGGGCCGGCTGACGCGGCGCGGCTGGTGTTCAGCAAGTGCGTGCCCGTGGCGGTGTCCGATTGGGTGTGCGACTGGGAAGGGGTCGAGGGCATGCCCCTGGGCTTGGCGGACTACATGCAGGGAGGCACCCTGCGGCTGGCTGTTGGGGCGGAGGCCTTTGAGTGACCTACACAGCACCACAGCATTGTCGGTTGTTGCCCTGCCATGCGATCTCCGCTGCAATTGATGCAAGAGCTGCCTTTATTTGGACCAGTTCTCTGAAGTGTATAAATGTGCCTGGGACAGCACATATGCATCACCGCCACCTGCCCTGCACCTGCTTTGCCGGACGTTCCGTAAGAGCCCCTGCACACACCCTCTCTTGCACACCAGCGCTCCGTGCATCACAGCGAACACCTGTTGCTCTATGGCATGGCTCATCGCCACAGGGATTCACTGCATGGGTTTGCCTCCAGACAGCGTCTCAGTGTGTCATCAGGGTGAGGTACACCATGGGTACATTGCTGCCATCCACGCAGCGCAGGGCAGATGGTGTGTGCCTTGCTGAATACCAAGGTCCGATGCGGGAGCGTACGGGGCGCGGCCCACAGAGCATGCAAGCAGGCCGGTGCCACAACCAGCGCTGGTGTGGCTGCGCAGGTCGCTGCTGCAGGATGCACACCGAGGGCACGTCCAACGCCCGCAAATGCGGTGCGCCCTTCACCCCCACGTTTATATAGCTGACTTGAAATGCCGAAGCTTTCTCATGACCGTTTCTAGGCTAGGGTTTCAGAGAGCTGTGCTGCCGAATGCACGCGGTCAAGACAACTTGGACCCGCACGGCTTGACGGCAATTATTGTCTGATAAGTGACTTGAGCTGCTTACATCGACAAGATTACACATGCGTTTGCAACGCGCAACAACGACATAGCCAAGAAAGTTGAACGGCACACGGCCGAAGCGCGGAACTGGATGAGCTCGCGGGTTTTCATCAGCCTCGTCCTCACGCTCTACGCGCAGTAGGTTCAGTTATACACCATTAATATAATCGTATTCGGCTCTTACGTGCTGCCTTCCAACGTGTCTACACGTCCAAGCAGCTAGCCCAAGACTGCCCAGCACGCCCGACTTGCCACGCGGAGCTCGCATATCGAGATGCAAAATTGCGACGGTGGGTCTTCAGGGGTGGCTCGGGCCTGCACCGAGGCCATTCGCTTGCACTTGAATCCTGCAGGAGTGCACGCAGCTGCGCTCCGCTGCATGCACCGACTGCTGCAGGACCGCTGAGGGGTCCAGCAGCATGCGCAATGCTGGTTGGCAAACTTCAGCCCACGGCAGTTGCTGGCTGCAGTATACCTGCAAATGAAGCATCATAGGCTCGCATATAGTCTTTCATACCTGCCCGCCCTCCTATGCAGGCACCCAACGACCGTCAATTTCCAGCCGAAAGAGGCGTGCCGGCGTTGAGCGTCTTGCAGGGGCGTGCTGCCGTGAACAAGAGGAGCTGCCTTCTGTCGCAGGATGAGTGGCTGAGCGCAGCGGCTTGCATGGTGGTTGGGGACTTGGGCCGC